CACACTGAACCGAAAACCGAAGGCCTTGCGTGACAGGTCTTTAGAGACTCCCACACGGATGATTCGTTCACGCTCCCGCGTTGGATCTACGCCCTACCGCCTTGTGGGTCAAACTTTTGAGTCAACGGCTCCGGTCAGGGTTCCCAAAGAAAAACACCTTCGTCAGTGTGGGCAACCGTGAAGTATGTCGTGCCCAAAAGTCTTAGGTACTCATTTGGAGAAAAGTAATCCTCAACTGTCTACTTCCTCTCCTCACTCCCATACCTTAAGACATGCATCCTGTTTGAGCCACCCATCGGATAACACTCAGTGTCCAACTAATGAGGCTAACCACTCAGAGGCTATCAAATTTTCGAAACCAAAATCTCCTTTCCACTTAGCCGCATTTAATGTCCGCATACTCTATCAGATTGATCAACAAGCCACCTTAGCTAGAACCCTTGAAACCTCCCATTTAGATGTATGCTGTGTATCCAAAACACGCATACAAGACCCTACTTCAATCATCTCCTTGTGTTCTCCAGATCCAACCTTATCCTCACGCTTCACTCTCCGTGTGTCAGGCGATTCGACATCCGAAGCTCGCGATGTCGCTGGTGTTGGGATTGCGCTGAGTATCCAGACCGAGTGTTCACTTCTCGATTGGATCCCGGTTAACAGCCGACTTTGCGCCGTATGTGTGGTTGGTTCAGTACGAGTCAACTGCTACAGAATGAAGCGTCGATGCTCATCCGTCGTATCCGCCTATGCACCGACAGATTCCAGTTCGCCAGAAATGATGGATGAATCCTGTGAGGACCTCTCTCAACTGCTCCGAAGTGCTCGGTCAACGGACATCGTGGTGGTCACTGAAGACTTCAATGCTCAAGTGGGATCCCTGGACGAATCAGAGAGACTACTTGGAGGTTCACATGCAATCCCGGCCAGCAGGACTGACAACGGAAAACGCATACCCTAACTTTGTGCTGACCACGTACTGTTCCCCTCAAGCACGAACTTCTCACACAAAAAACGCCACCGTCGTACATGGAGACCACCAACCGCTTCACATCGCTGGACTCAAATCGACCACATCGCGATCAGCAACCGTTGGCGAGAATCCATTGAAGACTGCCGCTCCTACTGGTCAACAACCGTGGACACGGACCAGGCTCTGCTACGAGCGAGATTTGCCCTACACCTAGTAAACAACCACAGAAACGCCATGGAAAACGGATGCCCACAATGCATTGTCACCAGTCGTTGCAAGTCGGCCTTCGAAGCTGAACTATCTGACCACCTTTCAGCTCTACCATCAGCCGAAGGACTCAATGAACACTGAATGGTAATCAGGGAAGCGATACAAATGTCAATTAAAATAACGAAGGATTCTAGCACGATCAAAACCAAAACGGTTGATGTCCTCTACCTCGACTGCCCAAGGAAAGTAGACGTGAGGTAATTAGGAAGTGTGACGGCGCACTGGTACATATTCAGCAACACCGTCTTGAACGATAGACAGGACACTTTAGGGTACAGTTCAGCTGGCCCTCGTCGACACAAGACCCTATACCTGCTTCAGCTGGGAAAATTTTCTCGAAAGGTATAAGGACACGGACCATGCTCTGCTACGAGCGAGATTCTCTCTACGCCTAGTAAACAAATGCAGAAAGGCCACCGAAAACGGATGCCCAAGATACAATGTCAGCAATGGTTGTAAATCAGTCTTCAAAGCGGAACTATCAGATTGTCTCTCAGCACAACCATCAGTCGGAAGACACAGTGAACACTGGACGACAATTAAGGAAGCGATCAAAATATCAATCGAAGCAAATTCAGACTCATGATCAAATAAAAAACGATGCATCTCCCCGACTTCGGTTGCCCTGCTGGATGCTCACAAAGCCATTCTTTCGGATTCAAACTACGACAAAGCGCGCAAATCCCTTAAACGCCAGCTCATCAAGAGTCTGAGGAATGACTGCGAGAAGTGGCGGGTAGGAAAGTGTAGAGAGATGAAGAAGGCTACGGCTATCGGTAATAGTCGTAATCTCTTCCGATTAATTAGAAACAGAGGTCCAAGGAAAGCAGGCGTGAGGTAATTAAGGAGTCCGACGGCACACTGATCCACATTCAGCAACGCCGTCTAGATCGATGAGTAGAACATTTTAAGGCTCAGTTCAGCTGGCCCTCGTCAGCACAAGAGCTCGCTACACCCGATTCAACTGCGCAAATACTGCCAGTGGACATCAGTCCTCCATCTGAAATAGAGATTACCCGAGAAATAAGCTATCTCAAAAGGTATAAGGCTTCCGTCCCCGACGGATTATCCTCATCGGTTTTTAAGGATGGGGGTCTAGCCTTGGTTTCGGAGTAAACAAAACTCCTAGGTTCAGTGTGGGAAAAGGAACAGGTTCAAACTGAATGGTGTGAGTCAGTGATCATACCGATTTACAAGAAGGGTGATAGGTCCTCTTGTGAATAAGTTCAATTAACATTGCCTCTAAACTTCTCGCCGGGATCATATTTCGTCGATCGTCTGCCATTCGTGAAGAGTGCACACCTGAGAACCAAACTAGTTTGAGATTTGGTCGAGGTTGTTTCGATCACATCTTTGCTCTTCGTCGAATCCTAGAACAAAGTCACTCTTTTCGTAGACCCATCATTTCCATCCTCCTCGACCAGAAAGTGGCTTTCGACCCAGTCGACCGTTCTAAACTCTGGCACTGAAGGATGTGCCCCAGAAGTTTATTTCAATGTTACAATCCCTTTATAATAATAGCCGAAGTCGAGTCCGGGCTTACGGCACTTTTTCGCCCGAGTTCACTATACATATTGGTGTACGACAAGGTTGCCCTCTTTATCCATTCGTATCCAAGTTCGTTACAGATTCAACTCTTGAAACAGCCTTATCCTCGTGCGAGGATAATGGCATCGATTTACTCCCAGCTGACAGACTGTCTGATCTAGAGTATGCAGACGACATTGTGCTACTGAGTGAAGATCCTTGTGAGCTGCAAGCATTTCTAGATAACTTGAATGCCAGTGTAGCCATATTCGCCATGCGCTTTGCACCTTCAAAGTGTAAAATGTTACTACAAGACTGGGTTGGTCCAGCACCCAGCCTCACTCTAACTGGTGAAGTAATAGAGCAGGTGGATAAGTTTTGTTATTTGGGCAGCCACATCTCACCCGGTGGACGCATCACGGATGAAGTGTCAGCGCGCATACAGAAAGCTCGGTTGGTATTTGCCAACTTGAGACATCTGTGGCGCGACNGCAGAAACTTGGCCATTAAGAAAACAAGATAAAGACAGACTGTCGGTGTTTGAACACCGTTGTCTACGCAGCATTGCACGAATCTGGTGGGATAACCGGATGAGCAATGCTGAGGTTAGGGGCAGAGTTTTGGGTAAATGCGGTCGCCCACTGAGCAAGTGGTCGACCTCCATAGATT